CTGTCATCCCAGGTTGAGGTACAGCAACGTTGCTGTTCCTCAACCTGGGATGACTATACTCTGTTTCACCTTGTGCTGTACCGCAGGAACTGCTACAAGCGCGAGCTCCTTGCTCTGGGGCAGATCTCGGCGTCACAAGCTCTCGTGCAGTAAGGGCAGTTTTCAACGCTATGAGCTCGCGCTTCCAGCCTTCGCTGCGGTACAACTTAAAGGGATACTGAAGCGAAACTTGAAATACACCTTTTATGGTCAGAAATAGGTTCAATATGATCAATGATATTCATAAATCATAATCGCGCGTTTGTATTTTGAACGGATGGCTATATTTTTCACCCTGATGGGCCCGATTGGGCGCGCGCTCAAAAATCGGCCATCGGAGAGCGCGATGCGTCTTGGGATATTGGGCGCATTCGTGACGTCACTTGTGCCGGTCGGGAAAGGCTACGGCGTGAATGTTGTGGTTACGAGCGTTGCCACTTGGTGGCGCGTCGACGATTTACGACCTGTGACAACGTGGCCGTTTGAGATGTGCAAGGGCTGCACGCACGCTGCACCACGGGACCACGGCAAGTCGGCAACCACGGCAGCACTGACAAAACCAGCCCTGAGGCCGGATTCTCAAAGCGAATTCACGACGAAAAAAGTGCGTACGACAAATTTGAGAGAAAACCCGTGCTCTCGAAACGAAATTGTCGTAACCTTTGCGCAGGTTACGACAGAATCCTACGACACCTCCGAAGCTGTCTTACGCACTTTTTACGATCAAATCAACAAGGCCGACAGCGTCGCTCAGTTACTTGGTATCGGCCACCAACGGACATTTATTTTTCTTCGTGCTCTTCTCGTGCGTCCCGACTTCAACCAGCAAGAAAAAAGGAGTACTTAAAACAGACCACGACGATCAAGAACGCAGGATCCACAAACACACGAGAAGAGCTACAACAGCCACGATTCTGCCGACCGAGCGAGCTCGGCAGAATATAGTAGGCCTAGCAGCAACATCGACTCGGCGCACCGTTGCTCCGGCGGTCCTTGGCCAAGACCGTCTTTCCATGACCGGCTGGCCTGCTGAATGAAATATGCCCGCGCGACCCTTGTGGACCCTTACCGGATGAGTAGTTTGATCCCTGAACTAAATTTCAGAGGTCAATATTTTCCCCTTGTCATCTCGATCTCCTTGTTTTCCGAGACAGCGGTGACGAACGCTGTCGTCGAAAAGGGACTCTCATTGATTTTATCTCCTTGTTTTGTGTGATATAGAGCTTAAATAAACGCCATACGGATTACCTTGGCAACTCGGTATGTACACTGTTATTAGTATGCCATTTTTATTCTGACTCGACGCTACGTCAGTGTCGAGCTATAGCAGTTCGTGGGAGCTACGCGATGTCGGTCTAACCTTTCTTTGCCTAGTGTCATGTCAGTATCGAGTTGCAATCGTAAAAGATCGGTCCAGAAGCGCTTACCGAAACGCGGTCTAACAGAGCGAATCCAGCACTTCGATCAAACGCGCGTGTCCGCTCCGAGTGTGAACAGGTATTTGGCATTTGCGTGGCTCTTGCTGACACCCTCGTAGTTCAAACATATCCTTTTTAACGTCGGCTTGCAGCTCGCGACTCGCAGCAACTAATACCGGCCGTGCCAGAAGCATGCTCGGGCCGTCTCGTGCAAAGAGCCGCTGGATGGATGGATGGATGCTACTGGCTATACCCTTTGTATCGGGCGGTAGCTTGCGCCACCTAGCCTACGTCTAATAAAGACAAACATTTGATTCCCCCGCCCTTCTAAACCAATTTTCTCCCCCCCCCCCCCCCCCCCCCCCCGCCTCCTAACTATCACCAGGTAGTGCGGGATATCGCCAGGCTGACCTTTGGGGGATCGGGCAAAAAAACTAAAAACATCACCCCCCGCCTCTTCCCCCCGGCGAGGGAGTCGCCAATTTTCCTCTGGTCAAACCTTGTCGGCGTTACCCCTGCACCCAACCCACTGGGGGACAGGGTTGAGACTTTGGGCCTGAGCCACGCGGGAGGGAGTCCCAATTTTCCTCTGTCCCGCCTGTCCCCAGCTGTGCTAGTTAGTTGTGCATCATTCAATTTTCCCTAGATAATTTCCACCAATCTTCTAACCGCCTCTTTGTTATTGTGATCCTCTTCTCCTCCGTCCTTCCATCGTCGCCAGCAAAGCCCAGGGCCCCGGCCAAACCCGTCACACCCTCAGGAGGGGCAGGACGAAGCCTCGTGCACCTTAAAACTAGGTGCTCAAGTGTCTCACTCTCATCACGGCATGCAGCGCATAATGTGTCTATCTCCTGAAATTTAGCCCTATACGTCCTCGTCCTCAAAACTCCCGTTCTCGCCTCGAAAAGTAAAGAACTTCCCAGCGAGTTGTCAAACACATTTTCCTTTTGTATGTCCTTTTTTTGTGACCTGTAAACCGTTAGAGTCGATTTTTCCTGCATTCTTCCCTCCCACATTTTCCTCTCTGTCTCTTTCACTCCCTTTTTCACTGAAGTAGTCTGCTCAGCCCCATCATCAGTGAGTAGGTATTTAAATGTAAGCTTTCGGGTTCGGTTTGTCCATTTTGTGTTTATGCTTTTCATGTATAAATACTTGTACACCTTACGTGCCCATCTCGTATCATCCATTTCAGACAACCGCAACGAGAACGAGCTCACTGTGGCCAACTACGCTTTGGCTTTCTCCGCCAAGGCTTTGCAAACGCGTTCAGGCCTAGGCGAATTCTGCCGGCACGCAGTATTGCCGCAGAACGGCGCTGCTATTTTGGCACAAGTGATGTCACGAGAACTTCCCCCCATCCACCAGATGAGAATTTGAAATCGTTTAATTATGTTTAAAATTAGTTCTCCTGTGTTTTACAGCGCAATATTTATATTTCCGAGGTGGTGCCTGTCCCTAGCCCATATTTATGCAACAAGATCGGCGCTAAAATTTTGTTTCACTACCCCTTTAAGGTGAAACGGAGTATAGTCTGAGATGGTGCGATGAGTGATGTCGCAATTTTAACCTTTTAGCAATGTGTATTTGTATACTTTTTCGTAACTTGGTTTTGTTGGCACTGGAAGACCTTTTCATCCTCCTCCGCATGGGCGCTGCCATCTTGGAATCACGTGACGCGGCAGCCATTAGGTTGCTTCAACTTGCTGCTCCGCTCTCCCCTCCGAGCCTTGGCGGATGCGTTGCATTCTTGTTTTTCGCCGTGTTTCACCGCGCTTGCTCGCCTTCGGAAACTGTAGTCCGATACGTCTACTCGACGACTCCTGAGGTTTGTTTACTAATAGTGGCGGAACATTCTCAGTAAGAAGCGCGTATATTTATATCGCGCATCTAGGATCGGAAGGCGTCAAGAATAGTCAGCGCAAGGAGACTATCTGTATTTCCTGAGAGTATCGTTCTTTGTATTCATAATATATCGAAAACAGTTTCTTTTGATTATGGGAGGAAACGCGCGGAGGAGATAGACTACGAACGTTTAGCTTGCATCTTATCTGAGGCTAGAAGTAATGGTACGTCAACATCAGGCGATTTGTTTGTTCATAACATCACACCTACATGTGTATGAGGTTCACAATCTTTTTTTCTACGTAAACATTCGATTGGTCGGCTACCTATGAAGTTTAAGAAATTGTACACCATACTCGCTCCCATTTCGACAGTCATTTAAGTGATTTATTGATTATATTCGGATAATCAGTGCCATCCACTTTGTTTATTTTAACGCAAAGGTTGGGACTTTCCGCGTAAGAAACTGCCACACACAACTTAACAGTAGCGAGTTTTAGAATAGCGTGCACAAAGAAATAACGTCGTTTATACTTGCAAATCTTAAACGCGGTTTGGGTTCGGCGCATGCGCTATAATGACGACGTTTTTTTATGTATGATGTTTTAACTTTTGCCAGTATCTTAAATCCGCAATATGTAACGCTGAAAAAAAAATAGTTGTCTGCATAACAATTACTCGAGTCCAGGATTGTCGATGGCGAATAAAGATTTACTTTTGGTGGCTGGCGACACCGAAATTTACGAAGCGAATATGTACAAACAAATAAATGTTTGTTCCCGCAGGTCTGTGAAGTGGTGCCTAGCGCTAGGATTCAGCCAAACTTTCCGAGGTATTTCTTCTCCTGCGCTCTGTAATTTTATAAGGCAAATTTTACGGAAGACAAATGCTAGGCTCAATTTGACGGGCCTGTTACTTATATCATATCTTGAGTAAGCAAATGTTCATATAAAAATAATTTATTTTCTAGGGCCAATATCGCGAAATGCTGCCTATGAATACTTTAGCAGGGTTGATAATTTAAGAACGTTCCTACTCGGCCTGTCAAAACATGCTCGAGTACTGAATAATAATAATAAAAAAACAGGTCTAGATGATACCACTTGTTTACATCAATTATCTGCCTCATTACACAATACATTTTTAGTCTGCGAATTTTCTTAAAGGTTGTGTGCCCACGAAAATCAAACAGTGTGTAGCAAACTCGCGAGTTCATCTGTTCTGGCCGATTCAGCACATTGCTAATCAAGCTGTCGATATGCTTCGTTACGTTCACGTGTTAGTCTTTTCATTAGTTTGTTTTTCTGGAAATTGGTGTCATCGGGTACGCCCGTAGATGATGCTAATCTCTCCTGTACATCAGTCAGGCGTTTCGCAACCGACCATAATCAGATACATCAAAGGAGTTGGTAAAAAAAAAAAGCCCGAAATTTAGGCTAAAATACACCTCGTAGTCCTCAAAGTGGTTCAATACCGCTGTTTCATTGGTAGTGTGCTACAAGGAAAATATTCGTATCACAAAATTAATCAAAAACAACGTAAAACAGCAACATAGCCGCGTTCACGTTGAAACCGAAACCAATCAAATTGAAGCAACCTAATGGCGCCGAGTGCGTCAGCGCCCTCTATACGCCGGTGAGGCAACTACTAAAATGAAAAGGTCTATACATTTTGAGTGAGAACGAAAATAAAGTTTGTAGTATTTCAATTTTTTCATTTAAGTAGTTCTCGCCACACTAACCAGATGGCGCCACCGTTACACCATTGTCCGTGTTATCAGGGTTGCGTCCCCGTGGCGCTCAACCCCCACGTTGTTGACCGTTAAATAAATGAGTTGCGACCCAGCCACCGTCGTCGCCGGACGTCCGTCTCTCTCCGTCCGGGGCTCCCGCGCCCGGCCCCGCCGGCGCCCGCCGTTCACCTCTTCGGCATGTAAGACCCCTCGTTTTCCGCAGGCCCACGCAGGCCCTGCTCTTCTTTATTTTCACGGGTGACCGCTTTTATTTACTACATTTTTGGCGACGAGGAATTACTACATTTTGGCGCCGAGCATGGGATAATTTTTTTTTCCACATTTCGAACCCCCGCGCCCCCCTGACGCTTCGTTGCGCCGCTTTTTGTTGCGGCTCCGTTTTTTTTAGCATCGTTTTTTTTGAGAGCGTCCGCGCGGTTGGTGGGTCGTACTCCGCTTCTAGACGGGACGTGCATTTTTTTTTAACAAGGAACGGCGCCTTTTTTCCGCCTTTTTCAAGATGGCGGCTGCGCAGGGTCGCGTTCCCGCCGAATTTCTCTCCACGCCCGGCGAACCGTCAATGCCGTGGCAGACTTGGAAGCGCGGCTTCCTCAACTACCTCGAGGCGATCGACGCCGAGGATTTTCCGCCGAAACGCAAGAGGGCGATTTTATTTTCATTTCTCGGCGATGAAGGCAATCGCGTCGTTGATGCGTTCAACCTAGCGAGTCCAGCCGTCAACACGGCACAAGATGAGTTTCAGAGTTTGTTGTCCGCTTTGGACACCCACTTCGCTTCCGCTCAAAACGTCGTAGTTGAGCGTAGAAAGTTCGCCATGAGGTTCCAGGGTCCAGAAGAGACCGTCCTCGAGTATCTTGGGGCGCTTAGACGCCTAGCATCGTTTTGCGACTATGGAGAGTCGTTGGAGAGCCGCGTCGCGGAAATGTTTATTTCGGGGATCCGTAACGCGGAAGTCCAAGATCGTTTAATCAGAGAGTCCGACGGAACTAAGGCACCTAGCCTCGAGCGTGCTGTCCAGTTAGCGCAGCAGTTCGAGCGGACGTCTCGTGATTGCGATCACTTCCGACGCTTGTCGTTAGACGCAAGTCCGAACACGCCGCACGTGGTCGATCGGATCCAAGATGGACGCGGTCGCGACCGAGATGCTCAACATGGCGGGCAGTCACCCCGCCACCGCGGGTCTTCTTCCCCGCGGCGTGAGCGTCTTCCTCCTCCCCCTTTCCCGTCAACACGCGAGCCATCTCGCTCCTGTCGTCCGAGGCGCGAGCCTCCCCCTCCTTCGTCGGGACGCGAGCGGCCCTTTCCTCCTTTCCCGCCGCGTCGAGAGCGCGACCGCCGGCAATGGCGAGCTCCCTCCCGACCGTTCTTCCGTGCGCGCCCACGCGATCCTCCCCCCGGGGCGCGTCGTGTCGTTCGCGACGACGGTTGTTTTTTCTGTGGCAGACGAAGCCACCCCCGAGATGAGTGCCCAGCATCGGGAGCCACATGTTTCTCGTGTGGCCGTGTGGGACATTTTGCAAATGTGTGTCGAAGCCGACCGAGGCACGACCGGGATCATCGACAACTGGCCCTTTCTGCTGGCCGGCGGGTCTCTGCCCGCGACTACTACGAGCATCGGCAAGCAAGGCCTGGTCCTACAAGGATTCAAGGCATCACCTTCCCGGACTACGAGCTCCCAGCAACAATCTACACCGTCGCGCCGCCCGATGATTTTCCGGAGCGGTGCCGTTTCTGTGGTGGCGCCTGCCACCCGAGGAAGTTTTGTCCGGCCGCACACCGTCGCTGCTTCTCCTGCCAGAAGCAAGGTCATCTAGACCGTGTTTGCGAGAGTCGACCCCGGTGGCCACGACTCGACCGTGGGGGGCCTAGCAACCCTCCCACAGTGTTCGCGTCCGCCCACCAGAGGCATCCAGTCCCCGACCCACAAGTTCCAAGGTCCATAGTCCAAGAAAGGCATCCAGAGCTTCCTGCTGCAGCCCCGCCTGCAGTTGTTCTGCCCACAGTCCCGCCGGCTCCCCCAGAGCCGGCTGTGCCTGTCCTTGGTCCGGCCAGCCCGGACACCACCAATCCAGATCCTGCGGGTCAACGTCCTGACCCTGGCCCGAGTCCCGAGGCCCCTCCTCCTTTTCCGGAGGGTCCTGTTCCAGCTGGGAGTCCCCCTCCCGTTCCCGAGGTACCCATCACGACACAGCCCAAGCCGTTCCCCAGACCGGAGCCACCAGAGCCCCAGGGTCCAGACGCCTCCGCGCAAGAGTGTCGTCGGCGGCTGCCAGACGTCCTGAAGGACTATTTTATTAACTCTTTTGGACTGGGTTCAAGATATTTGTGAACATTCAGTGAATTTTTTTCTTACCCAGCTTACTGCCCTAGCGCAGCCTTTTCCAGTGTGTGCTTTCCGCAAATTTTTTGCGCAAATTTTTTGCGACGTGCTTTTCCTTTTTATTAATTTCACATTTTTCCAGTGTCTTGACATAGAAATGTCTTTAATTTCAGTACATTTCCATACTTCCCAACTGCCCTGCAGTTTGGCGTCAGTTTTCGAAAACAGTCTATTCAATTTTTTTTTTTTCCTAAGAAAGGGAAGGATAGGTAGTTATTTTTTTTTTAAGGAAAGGAAAGTGTAGTATTTCAATTTTTTCATTTAAGTAGTTCTCGCCACACTAACCAGATGGCGCCACCGTTACACCATTGTCACCGTTACACAAGGGAGAGTTACACCGTTACACAAGGGAGAGTGGATTTCAAGACTGTAGAGATTACCAAGCAAAGATTAAGTGAATGGTGGCAGAAATCGAGAGAAAACTAGGTATTTTCTTAATCACTGATGGCAAGGGGGTTTCATAGCCTCACTTTCTTTGCACTGCGGAGTGAATATAGATTTCACATTTAAATATTCTAAGCTTAAATGGTAAAACAAAATGGCTAGGTGGCGTAAGCTACCGCCCGATCCAAAGGGCTCAGCCGTATTCATCCATCCATCCATCCATGTCCGTGTTATCAGGGTTGCGTCCCCGTGGCGCTCAACCCCCACGTTGTTGACCGTTAAATAAATGAGTTGCGACCCAGCCACCGTCGTCGCCGGACGTCCGTCTCTCTCCGTCCGGGGCTCCCGCGCCCGGCCCCGCCGGCGCCCGCCGTTCACCTCTTCGGCATGTAAGACCCCTCGTTTTCCGCAGGCCCTGCTCTTCTTTATTTTCACGGGTGACCGCTTTTATTTACTACATTTTTGGCGACGAGGAATTACTACAAAGTTCAGTTGTAAGTAGCGCTGTGTCCGTGTCTTCCTTTCTGTCCGTTGTCTTGTTGCGCTTTTTAACCATTATCATAGCTTCCTCTATACCAGCACCTCCTAGACAACTGTCTAGGACGTGATCTCTGTTACGTCACGGCGCGGTGGTGGCGCGTCGGACGCACTTCCGGTCCGGGGCTGTGGGCGGAAGTGCCCATCTGAGACGTGTATTCCTGCGTTGTTTTGAAAGGAACCAGACAAAAACCTGCCTTCTTGTCAAAATGCTGCGACTGGGGCGCGCTGTACCAAAAGGGTCGAGAAAGGTTTGAAGGTCAGTTTTTATGCGCTCGGTTCGTCCGAGAACGTGGATAGGTGCCGTGAAAAGGGAAAACCAGACGCCGTCGGACCACGATAGCTTGGGCGGGAAGCATTTTGGGTTGAATTCACGGATACTTCTGGCCATCAGATTTATTTGTTTTGTTCCAAAATGAATGCCGGAAAACCGTCAAGTTGTCCGGACCACCTGCGGACTACGTTCAGTGCGTCTTCAAGTTCAAACGGTTGCCTGATCGTTCGAACTGTCGTCTGCTCTTTCAAACGTTTCTGCTTGTCGTCTGCTCTTTTAGAGGACACCAGCCCGCAGACCATACGTGGGCCCGTTACTTGCGATAAGAAGTGAGTGCAGGCCTCAAAAGACTTGAGTTTGAAGGTTGGTAAACAGGCTCGACGTAAACAGTAGATACAAGGAGATGTTGATCATTGTTTCCAGTGGCCATCACCGACTTGTTATGCCTGATTCACTTGGTTAGATTCTGCTTGCGACTTTCAGTATCGACGTCGACCATCTCAGCTACGGTTCACGCTTTTGCAGTCCGAGCGACGTCGCTACTGAAAATTGCGAGCGGAATCTCATCATGTGAATCAGGCTTTAGCGTACATTCTGCGGCGTCCACGCGGAATGAATCGCCGCATGTCAGATTATTCACGCGAAGTTTTGCGGTGTAACGGGCCTCGTTAATTTCGCTGACGCCGCTCAAGTAGTCAGACATCGTTAGGAGGACGTAGAATCAACAATTCCAACGCGAAAGAGAGCGCGGGGACTCGCACCGAGGCCGAAAACATCGCATTTCAATGGTTTGTTTATGAGCGACGGCGAGCTTCTTGCCCACACCCCCATCGCGCATGCGCGGCGCCGGTGGCGTCCGCTAGGGGCGCTCCGGGCACTCCGGTTTGTTTGTAAACATGAGTTGGTGTATACCACTGATCTCAATGACAATTGCTGGATCGCGCTTGCCGCTCCCGCAAGTGAAGCCACCGGGCGTCACTCGCTTGGGATACGATTTGCCGTTTTTGCTAGCCTTTGCTGCGGTTTTCCAGCGTGCTGACGACACGTTTTCTACTCGTTCGTCGTCATTCGCCGAAGAAGTTTTTTGAAGACTCTGTGTATTTTTGAGACTTTCCGTTGTGAACACGTGGAAAATTTTACGAAAGTGCAGTGTCGCAGGAAAAAGGCACAACGCGTCGAAAGGAAGGGCTGGCGGCGTGTTCAAAGCATCCTTGGCACGCCGAAGTGCCGTGTCTCTGTGCCTTCGCGCGCTTGGATACCGACCAAGAACCGACGCCGTGTGAATGTGTTTAGCGAGTGCAATGTGCGTGAAGCCGTATCAAAAGGTACAACTCGTCGAAAACGTGTCGCCGGTGTCGCGGCGTGATCAAAGCTTCCCTGGCACGCCGAGTGATGCATCTTTGTGCCTTAAAACGCTTGGATACCGGTCAAGAATTGACGCCGCGCCAAAGTTCTGAACGTGTGTCGCGCGTAGATGCCTTTATATCATTTATATATATCGGCCACGGAGTTCTGGATCGTCCAGCTGTTCCGGTGAGTTGCTATCAATAAAAGGGGGAGATCTGTACGTGTTCTTATGTACTATATTAACCATGGCTATGTCCCAAATCTACTCTAATAGATTCCGTGGGAGCACGAATAGGGCAACATTGTGGAGCCAGGGGGGTTTTCGAAAGCAAAAGTACAAGACGGCGAGAATGAAAATCTTTGAAGCGCGGCCGATATGGTCGTGTGCAATCTGTTGACCAATTACAATTAGGCGAGTCGCGTAGGTTGATAATAAGCCAGCACTGATCAGTGATGAGGAGCTGTTGTGCACGGTATTGCGTAAATCGTCTAAGGACGAAAAAAAGACGTACCTTCTCCCCATCTCCCGTCGCTAGTGGACGCTGGATTAAGCTCGTTCCTAAACCGCGAGGGGAAAAGACGCTGATCCAGAGGCACGAACAGCTTCACGCACATTGCACTCGCTGAACACATACACACGGCACCGGTTCTTGGTCGGTATCCAAGCGTGCGAAGGCACAGAGACACGGCACTTCGGCGTGCCAAGGATGCTTTGAACACGCCGCCAGCCCTTCCTTTCGACGCGTTGTGCCTTTTTCCTGCAACACTGCACTTTCGTAAAATTTTCCACGTGTTCACAACGGAAAGTCTCAACAATACACAGAGTCTTCAAAAAAACTTCTTCGGCGAATGACGACGAACGAGTAGAAAACGTGTCGTCAGCACGCTGGAAAACCGCAGCAAAGGCTAGCAAAAACGGCAAATCGTATCCCAAGCGAGTGAAGCCCGGTGGCTTCACTTGCGCTGCAGCGAACAAGCGGGGAAGCGCGATCCAGCAATTGTCATAGAGATCAGTGGTGTATACTGAAAAAGCCTGGCACACCGTCACATGACGCGGCCGCCGAAAGTGAAAAGGTACGGCACGCGATGGATGGATGGATGGATGAATACGGCTGAGCCCTTTGGATCGGGCGGTAGCTTACGCCACCTAGCCATTTTGTTTTACCATTTAAGCTTAGAATATTTAAATGTGAAATCTATATTCACTCCGCAGTGCAAAGAAAGTGAGGCTATGAAACCCCCTTGCCATTAGTGAATAAGAAAATACCTAGTTTTCTCTCGATTTCGGCCACCATTCACTTAATCTTTGCTTGGTAATCTCTACAGTCTTAAAATCCACTCTCCCTTCGCTGTCTCTAAAACCCAATGACTTTATTAAATCTATGTTGTCTTCGGTAGGCATAGGGTGAAGCCCTTGACAGTAGAGTATAGAGTATCAAGTGCTCAGCCGTCTCGTCCTCCTCTCCACAAGCAGTGCACACTGTATCCATTTCCTGGTACTTCACTCTGTATGTTCTGGTTCGCAGAACACCCGTCCTCGCCTCAAACAGCAATGAGCTTCCCCTAGAATTGTCATAAATGCTTTCTTTGGCAATAACTCTTTTGTTTAATCTATAGCTTTCCAGAGCCGTCTTTGTCTGCATTCCCTCTAGCCACCGATCTCTTTCTGTGGCCTTAACTTTCTTCTTAACTGAGACTTGCTCTTCCGTATCTTCGCTATAGCCCAAAAACTTTCCTCTTAATTTCCTAGCGCGCTGTCTCCACTTTGTGTCTACACTCCTCATGTATAAATAGCTGAAAACCTTTCGTGCCCATTGCTCCCCATCCATTTGCCTCAACCTATCCTCAAATTCTATCTTGCTCACCGCTTCCCTGCTCTCAAATGACGCCCATCCCATGCCTCCTTGTACTCCCTGGTTTGGCGTTTTGCAATGTGCCCCCAAAGCCAGCTTACCTACTCCACGCTGTTTTATCTAGTCTCGCATGCACTTCGGATTTCATGCATAGCACTGCGTTTCCAAAAGTCAAGCCAGGCACCATGACCCCTTTCCAAATCTCTCTCACCACCTCGTACCTGTTGTAATTCCAAAGTGCTCAATTTTTCATTACAGCTGCATTTCTGTTGCCCTTACCTATTATATACTTTTCATGCTCTCTGAGATATTCTGCATTATCACATATCCATACTTTTAGATACTTGTATTTACTGGCTCTCTCAACTGTAATATTCTGTATCTTCATCCTCTCAACTTCATCCTCGTTAAAAATTATGACTGCTGATTTTTCGCTACTGAATTCTAAACCTAATTCCTCTCCTTCCCTACCACAGATGTTCATTAATTCCTGCAACTCTGTCCTGTTGTTAGCCATTAGTACGATATCATCCGCATACATCAATCCCGGTAACGATTGCTGAATTTTTTGGCCTAGCTTACTGTAAGAAAGGTCGAATCCAAGCCCACTCTTCTCTAGTCTATCCTCCAATCCTCTCAGATACAACATAAACAGCAAAGGCGATAACGGGCACCCCTGCCTAAGGCCTCGTCTTATCTCTATTTTCCCTGTCGCCTTTCCTTCCCATGTTATAATCACCTTGTTACCTTTGTAAATGTTCCTTAATAGTGCTGTTAGTCCTTCATCTAGGTTTAAGTTCTCCATTATGTCCCACAGGTTTCTTTGGTTCACATTGTCATAGGCACCCTTGATATCCAGAAATGCCAGCCAGAGCTGTCTGTTTTCTTTTTGCGCTATTTCTATACACTGTGTTAGAGAAAATAAATTGTCCTCCAACCTTCTTTGTTTCCGAAACCCGTTCTGTAATTCGCCCAGTATGCCCTCGCAATGTACCCATTCCTCCAGTCTGTTCTTTATAATCTGCATTACCAACCTGTAAATAACCGGTGTCATGGTTATAGGACGATAATTCCTAATATCAGACCTATCTTCCTTTCCCTTATGTATCATACTCATCCTACTAAGCCTCCATTCATCAGGAATATTTACTTTTGTTATCATGATACTCACTACCTCCCTTAGTTTTGCCTTAGATTTAGGACCCAAATTCTTCACCAGCTTGATAGGGATACCATCTGTGCCTGTTGACGTGCCACTAGGGACTCTTCGTTCCGCCTTTTCCCATTCTCTTTGT